ATGTGGCTTTCAGATACCTTTGGCTAGATGGGATAATCTAATCTTAAACTGTGATTAAATGAAATTACATACTGTCAACAAAAAGTCTTCAACATTAATTGCATGTCCCATCCCTGAGCTTAACCTGCTGAGTAAATATTTGCATCCTTTCTGGTCCTTACTCTTTCCACCTTCAACAGACATTTAATATTTTTCTACTACATTAACTAAGAGGAACAACTGGCTTAGTCCCTGTTTACAAGTTCAGCAAAAGGTATAACTTCACAGCTTGTATCTATCTGAGAAATACTCCATATTCATAAAGGCTCTTTACAGTTTAAATTCAAGATCCTGCCCCTGCTACTCCCACCACAACAGGTGATATATCATATATCATATATCCATTATAGTTTATAACTATAGATTAGTTGCAAATTATACATCGCATACTATATAACATATGTTAGCAAGATAAATATATTGAGAGCTTAGTTTTAAAATAATTTGTATTCTAAGGACTGCCAAGAAATGAAAAGTTGGAGAGAGGACAGTCTGAATGTATTGAATCCACAAATATTCTAAAAAAACATTATCATACTGTACCCTTGCTGGACATTTGTAAATTAAAAACCCCATCTATATTATATCAAAATATCAAGCTCAAACTTTGTTATGAAAATCCACATTCTCTCAGCTTCACCCTTGAAGCAAGAGCATGCAGATCCTCTGGAAATGGTTATTTATCTTTGCATGTGTGTGAGGCAAATGGCATCTTTCTCGTTACTTATTACTCCCAGAATTGCTTTATTTCCTGTGTTTCTTGTGTGGTTTTTTTTCTACTAAACAACCTGCTATTGTCAAAGTTGTGGGGAGAGCTAAAGGCATGGATTTGATCAGTAGTATTTTTCACTTCAGCATTACCTGGTGTGGTATTCTTAAGAATTTTAGGACATATCGTTACTGTTAGAACTGCCTTCTAAAAATGTAGGAAATATAACAAAAGTTAAACAGAAGATCTGACGCACAGACAACTTTCCAGGCATGTGTCACTTGCATTAAACTGCAAGTGGATCTCACAATATCTGTTTTAAACAAAATTTAACTTTGCAAATACCACTAAATTGTCCTCTACAGAGCCCCAAATTGATTTTTCTCAACTTTTTATGTTATACAGGATTTGCAACTTGGACCTGTTAGCGTAGGTGTGACTGGAGAATTCCGCCTCTGGACACTTACAATTTCTAATCCCTTTTCATAGTTTGCTATGAAGATGTTATGAATTAAAGACCAGGATATGACGTTGAGGGCTCTGATTCATCAGCAAAGATGGCTTGCCTTGGGGTGGTTGAAATAATTTCCTCTGCTCTTGACCTCACTCTTCTCTGAGCATTTCCCTTGCCTGCCTGGGGGGACAGCTCTGCTACCTGTGAAGCAGTTCTTGAACTGCTCATTGGTAGACCAGTATATTAAAATAAATCAACACCAATTCTTGTTTAGTTTACAGCTGTAGTCTCTGCAGCTGTAAAAGCCTGTAGTTGTAAAAGCAACTGAGCCATCTCTAAGCAACCAGTGGGTAAAGGGTAGATGGGTAGCCAGAGTGGAAACCAAGGCAGCTCTCCGAAGTTAAACCATCCCTGCTTGTGAATCAAAACCTCAGTTATGCTAAGACCCCTCTAGCCATGTCTGTTCTATTAGTACATTTAGGCTCCTTGGCACCTCTAGATTAGAATAAAGTGCAAATTACATCAGTGGTCAGGTTGCAGATTTACTTTTTAAGAGCCTAAATATAGGTATTCATTCTCCTGGTAAACACTTGAGAAGACTAATCTTGGCAAATCAGTTGTACAAACAAAATCTCTGCATCTCAATGCATGAGGCCAATGCAAATAAATAAATGCCTTATGATAAATAAAGTAAATATTCTCTATTATTCTACTCAATATTTCTGAATATAATAGTGCATAAAACAGTACACACAATAGTAAACTAAATGAAGAGATTATGCATATTTCTTTTCAGTTCTATCATTTCATCGTGGCACATGATTAATTTATTTGATGTGCCTGATTGTTCAGTAGCGTATATCTGTATAATACAATCTTCAAAAGAACATTAACCAAAATATTTGTTTGGTCAACATTATTAATAAGCAGACACGAAATAATAGATAATCAGCCTGGTCTTTTCTGTTTCAGATTAATTAATAAGAAATAAAAGGAATTATTTAGTGATACATTTATATTTCAAGTAAGGTTACTTCTGTATTTCATTACAGCACTTTCAGAAAATAACTGTTCATGTTGCTGCCATCAGAGAAGTTGCTTCAAGCCTGCACTTTGCCTGTCTTTGTAACCTGCAAGTCCGTGTGAGACTACTTCTGATTACTGCTAAGATTTGGCTTGCGAGTCAGAACACTGCAACCAGAATTAGTTCTGAAGACACTTGTATTTAACCTCCTACTGCTAATACTTGCATACATAAAGGCAGTGGTAAACAGAGATATGGTTCTCGTCTTGATACTGTTAAATTCAGTGTATATATTTCTATTGAAACTCCTAGGAATAAGACTAGGCCAATGACCAAAATCGTATTTGTGATCTACCTTCAGTTGTCTACATTTATGGGAAACCTTCACACAAATAGAGCAATCATTCAGTCCGCCATTTCAAGTACAGTGAACAGTAATATAGACTGAATGAGAGTTGTCTATCTTTCTAAGCAGTGTTTGGTACAGATTTCAAGAAAATAAAAGTTTGCTGGACAGAAAGATCAGAAGAAACACTCTGTCAGAGGCTGGAAAGTTCCTCTGAATGACTATGCCAGCATAAACAGGGTAGGCAGAAATCTGATAAAATCTCAACTGGAAAAGACTTTAAGGGAATATTTGTATTACCCATTGCTGGTTGCTCTATTTGGATTTCCATTCCCCTTCATTCTGGATTCAGGTTTATTTTGGCCCAAGAACACATAGCTTTCTTCTTCCCGTCCTTTACGTGTGCTCTAATGATATGACCTGTCTGTGTGGTTAAGCCAGGGCAATTTCCTCAGCCAGGACTTCTGTAAAGGAGGGGGCTCAAGGTCAGATGTGATGTGAGGGGTGGGACACAGATGGCAGTGAATCCTAAACGGGCATCAAGAGGCAGAGCACTTGAGTCAGAGGAAAAAAATGGGCTGAAAGGAAGATCTTATCTAAAAGGATGAATATTAGGTAGAATCAAATCTGTATTTATACTTTATTGAACCAAGCCTCGGAAGGAGAGCCAGAACTTGGAGCGCAGTAACAGACCAAATTATCCACCAAGTCCTTAATCACTCTGCGAACAGCAAGTACAGAAGGATACAGTTCAGACCAGTCTTGCACAGGAAGGAGACCTGTCCTCAAATCCTCAAATAATAAAAATTAACATTCACAGTCTTTGTTTCTGTTAAAGGAAGTAGTATAATTAGTCCTGTGTAAAATGAAGATTAACTTTAATCACTGAAGGAGTTTTGGGGTTTTTTTTCAAACTGCTTTTGTTTTAAACTCTGCACTCAGGAAGATCTGTTAACAAGCTCAGCACAGAACCACTGAGAATCATTCATGAGACATTGGAAGAATCCACTGATTGGCTTTATGGCTTTATTTCTTTACTGTCTGACATCGTATGGAGTGATGATGATGACAGTGATGAAGGTATTTGTAATGTAAAGATTTCTGTAACTGCTCTAACTGCTGTTTTACATGCATTATGTTGGCTTACTCAGCTTTTAACCTCACAGACAAGAAGGTCAGAGAAAATGAAAAGTGAATGTTGTTGCTAATAAAGCTTCTACTGGCTATTCCAATCAGTAAATTGGTCTCTTTGTTAGCTTTCATCTCGTGTTTAATGCACCATTACAGAAAAGCTGTCAGAATTAAATATTACCATTAGTACATCATGAAGTAAAGAGCGCTAATTTATACAAGACTTCAAAGCCGCAACCAAAATATGCATCAGGATATTGCTTCAGAGAATGGCAATCGCTATTTTCTTTTAATCAGTAAAAATCTAAAGAACCCCAGTAAATATGCAAGACAGACCAAGAAACTTAGAACTTTTTTATTTGAGATATTGATGATAGGACAATATATTGAAACATTAAAAAAAAAGGGGGAAAAAAATGTAACATTTTGCCCGAACTAAAGGGCTTTTGGATGGCATATTGCAAATAATTCAATTTACTATACATTTTGGTTCTGCCTTTACAGTAACATTCTTCATCTGACATCATCTGATAAATGAAAGTAAACTGCTAACATTTCAAGTTTGGAAATAACTATCCCTCTGTTATAAAAAAAGTAGCTCCTTGGTATGAGCAGAGTAGTAGTGGATCATCATGTCACATCGTATTGGTCATTTTGACAAGCAGTGAGTGTAGGAGTGACGTCTTCATTTCACGGTAGCTTATTTTATATTCTATCTGGCTATACCAGAGTGTAATTAAAAAGCAACATGTACTGAAACTGACTTCTACCTATTTCTTCATAAACTTTAGATATTACCAAATTTCTACCATTTAAACGTGTGCATGAGCTTTTTATATCAGCGCCGTATATGAATACTAATAGACAGGCTGCTACATGTGAGCCTGTGAACTAGGCATCCTATTCTGAGATACAACTTACAACCAGCAGAAAGCCAGTCTCTCATGTGGCTGAGAAACAGAAAAGGTGAAATATGGAGAGCTTGCTAAAATTTGAAAAGTGTTCATTTTTACCATTTCATAGCTCCCAAAGCACCTGCAAGCTTTCAAATACTCAAGTGGATAAGTGTTATTGCAAGTAGGAAAGGTCATAAAATACCTGACACACGAAAATTCAAGATCTGAATGCTCACTAAGAAGTGTTTGGAAACCTTGGTTCTACCAGCCTTTAGTCCAAGTGGAATTTCATCAATATCTACCAGGAGTGTGAAATTACTGCATTCTATCATGAAAAGTAAGTGCATGTGAACTCCCTGCCCATTGTGCGCTGCAGTCAGTGCAGCTGAGGCTGCACACTAGTCACAGTCATTCAGGCTGACTCCTTTAAATTCCATGTCCTACATGGAGGTGGAATAACACACTGTGACAATCAAGTGCTCATAGTTCTACTGAAATGGAGTATTTTTTTACCTTGCATTTCACTGGAAGTGTTGCTAGATTTACAACTCTGCTAACCTGCATATATGTTTTATTATTTGGACCTAAAATGGAACCGCTGGATCTTTCCTTAAAACATGGAAACATTCATAAAATCAAGCAAATTGTAAATTATAGTCACAAAAAATCAAGCAAATTGTAAATTATAGTCACAAATTAACATTCAAAAACACAAACAAAGATTTAGACGTTTCCTTGGTTACTACTGCACGTTGAATTTATCTACCTCAAACCCAGGAAAACCTATATGGTAAGAGAGATACGTTACAAAAAATCAAAAATCTCAGAATAGAGTGCTTGCCACTTAACATATAAAGAACAGAATTATTTTTTAAAAAATTAAAATGAGCTAACATGAGAAAAAAAATATTTTTTTTTAGGATGATAACTCTTCTCTGATGTTTGTTCTTTTCTCTTGGTTTAGGTGAAGTGGAATCTTCCCTGAAAAAAGGTTGGTCGATTGCCTTTACTATAGAGGACAAATATTTTACAACCATTTTAAGATTTAGCTTGTATATCTCTGATGTAGATTCTGTTATTAGTTACATGTCGGTCTACTAACCATGTAAATTGTGCTTTAACAAACTCATTAAATAAGAAACTCGAGTAATAATACTTGCTGTACTGTTTACTGTTCTGTGAGAATTCTTGAATCTCTCAATATTACTCAGAAAATCTGAAAAATGTTCATAAAAGCCCAATAGAATTACAGAAATATTATCTGTATCCCTGACCTGCATGAGGGACTCCTATTAATGCCAACATGAGTTATGTATATATCTGGATATAAATAACGTTTAGAAATAATAATATCAAAAGAATATTTAGCAAGAAATAATGGTGAGATGTTGCAAAAGCATTTTACCTCGTGCCAATTCAGAACTCTAAAATAAGGACTACTTACGAATCTTCTGAAAAAAATTGCTTTGTTATCATTGAATTTTTAAAACAGACAAGTGAAGCAAGTAGGATTTATAATATAAATCTTTTCAGATATGAAAATTGTATTGCTGAAACATAAAACTTAAGTTCAACTTCTATTAAATCAAAATAAAAATGTATTAGAAGGCTTGAGATAGTGGTGATAGGACGTAAAGCTTTTCAAAACTAGAATGTGCTTTTTTCTCCAAATTGAGCACAGCTTGATAATAACAAGATGTGTAACTAGCCCTATGTGGTCTGAATTTGGTATCCATCAAAGTCTCAACAGGTAAATGCCCGTATTGAGGAATCTATCAACTCAGTTGTTGCTGAGATTAGAATCCAGTTTTCACTGAAGTTAATTGGAACTGGATCAGGCTTCTATTTAATGACACATTTTGTCAGTCTCAGTAGGGCATCCAAGGAATTAATAGGCTTGAGGACCAGTAGCATTCATCTTTCTATGGATGACCTTCATGTTAGGACTGAAGAAAACTCATAGACAGTGTAGGAAAATATTCCATCTTTTTTCTCCATCAGTAAGAATCACAAAATATTCAGCATTGCCCTATCTCTGCTCCCAAAGAGGCACAAGTATTATTAATTTTACAGTGGGTGCAAAGTGTGTGAAGCTGTAGCACATTGTTGGTGGGCATGCCAGGTACATGGGTGGAAGGTGTCTACTCACCATGGGCCAGTGTAGCTGACCGGGCTGGGAGTACTAAAGAGATAATTCACTGCTGGGAAGGCTTAATCCATAAAAACATTATGGACAACACTATGCTCAGCATTGCAATGCTTGTTTCTTTGGAAATCGGTGACATACTCATGCTTTACACTTTGCATTGGGACACTAGGCTGTAGAAATAGAATTCAGAGAATTCTATTATTCTCTTTCTAGTCTATCAAAATAAGCTGCTTTAATTAGCCAGTTGGAAGTGATGAAATGGTTGTTTGGACCTAAAAGATCTCCATCCAAGGAACTGAGTATCTAACTGCCAGCTTGAAATGTTTTCCTCAGTATTGAAAGCTCACAACCCTGCTCTGGAGATAAATGCCTGAGAGTCTTCTATCTTTGGTGTGAAGGAAATGGACAAGGAGTTGGTGATTCCTCTGGAGCTGGTATCTTACATGATAACTCAGCCACACGGATGTGAAAAGACTCCAATTCAAACATGCTTCATCTGCCTGAGCAGTAAAACAGATTTTGAGTGGGCTTTTCCACTTCCTGGGTGTGTGCTCAAGATCCTTCCCTCCGTCTTTCAGAGAATAAGGAGTGTCATCCTTTTATCCTTGCAAAAAGCTATTTCTTGACTAGGACTGAATAAGAAAGTGGTCTAAGACCCTTTCTGGTTATAGCCGTAAGCTTCTACATAGCAACGCCCTCAGATAACTTATTACCATCTCCAGGTGACTGGAGGTCTCCATTTCATCCCGTCAATCTTGATGATATTTGATTTTGTCACCTCTGTTTTGGGGCTACAGAAGCACAACACGTGGTCTGAAGTCACCAGTCCCTCAGAAATGCCAGTGCAGAGCATTGTGCACGTCTGCTCAGTGACGGGCAGCTGTGAGCTCCTCAGAGCTGCTGCTGTCTCTCTTTGCAGGCTTCTCTTAAAATTGTGTAAACATCGAGGAGCTGAATTGCCTGGGCCTAAGCATATGTAGAAGTTTTCTGAGAGGTCTGTAATAAAGTCTAGTCAACAGCTTTTCTGCTTAGGCACAGTGAAATTCACTCCCAGGGCAGCAGACAAAGCCATGGGAGGTGCGGCGAGGGCTCAGGAGAGCTCGTGCAGGTAGCACTCTCACAGATATCGCAATCTGTTCCCCGGAGCACAAGGTGCACATCCCTTTGAGTCGCTTTTCCTAACTAATGTGTGCTGTCATGTCTATAGTCCAGAAATAAGTGCTCCAGAAGAAAAGCTTTCTCAAACAAAACAAGACACTATATCCTTGATTTTTCCCATGTGACTGCTGTTAGGACTGGACCTGAGGGAGGACCAGCTATGCAAATTTGGAGACTTTGGGGGTATCAAAACGTTAGCAGTTAGATCCACAAAATCAGAATCAAATTTTTAGGCTCTGGAGCAGTATCTTCTTTCATTTAAAGGACCCTGTCTCAAAGTCCCTTCCACTCTGTGCAGCACTGTTATTTATAGCTTTGTGAATTATTCTCCTTTAGGTGTCTCTTCTTATTCTTGTGGCATTTGAACATCCTAACCAAAAAAATGACCCAGTGAGATTGCGCAGTACACTGCCTTCTCCAGAAGACGAACAGTTTGACTTTTTGCACTTATTTACAGGAAACTTCTCTCAAATTTCACCCTGGAAATATGCATTACGATTGCTACGCCTGATTTTTAAGTATTTGTATTGGATCTAACCCCCAGTTATTGTGGTATTCATGAAATGGTTGAGAGTTTTTGAAAAATCTCCATATCTATTTTTGGTACATAAAAAAGCCTTCAATCTTTTGCTTTGTTAACTAGCAGATTTTATGAATGCTAAAATGTTAGCACAGAATTTACTTTCAAATGGAATATAGTAACTGAAAAAATAAGATTACTAGTACTACAATGCAATCACGCATTG